GTTTGTGTCCCCAGCACTTAGTACAGTGCCTGGCATGTAGTAAGCACTTAATAAATGCATATTGCCATTCCTTGTAGAGGGGAAACTACCTAGGGTTGTTCCATCAGTTGTATAGCCAGCATAGGTCTCTGGAGAAGTATAGGCCCATTGGAGTCAGGGAGTTTTCTTGATGGCTCTGGGCTGAGGTATGATTACTTTGCATTTTCTGTCAAGTTAAATAAAATCTATTAGGACAGATCTTCAATGTCTTGTTAACCTGAGAGCTTGCATGGAAACTAAAAACCCTTCAAGGGAAAGGCATGAGCCAAATGTTGATGTTTTCAGGGAAGAACCTGGGTGGGGCCAAAAAGATCCCAAAAGAGTATAATTATTGAGAAAAACTTCAAGGTCAAACCCTGTACAGAGAATTGGTCCAGAGAATTGGTAATGAACCACAGCTTACGAATTAACTTTCTATCATTGCGAAAGATTGCTCCACAGGGTTCTAGAGTTGGCTGTTGGGGTCTAGGTGGAGTAGGTTACACCCACCCTGCAATCTTACACTGTTGTCAAGAGGGATAGGGGTCCTTGTGCAAGATGTCTGACTCCTTTACCTTTTCTCCTACTTCTGGAGCCTCACAGACTCAAATACAGTAATGTTTGCCCTCAAAGAATAATAACAACAATTCACATTTCTATTACGTTTTCCTTGTCATGACCCTATAGGGGAGGTGGGAAGAGTATTTTAATCTTTTACAGATTAGGATATGAAGATTTGGGATTAAATAGAAAGATGAGAGAGACAGAAACAGACAGAGAGACAGAGAAAGACAGAGACTGGAGAGAGAGACAGAGACAGAGAGGCAGAGAGAGAGAAGAAAAAGAGGTCTAGATAGACAGACAGACAGATAGATTGATTGAATATTTATTACACTCTTACTATGTGCCAGAAACTATGTTAAGTGCTAAGGCTGCAAATACAAACAAACAAGGCAGTGCCTGTCCTCAAGTATCTTACAGTCTAATAAGGGAAATACATCAGAGAAGCTGGAAAAAGGGAGAGGATGTGGGATAGTCAGGAACTGCATAGTTTGGAGCCAATGTCCAGAAAGAGAAGTAGAGGATTGAACATTTGAACCCAGGTCTTCCTGACTCCAGGCCTGGTGCCTATCAACTCTACCACCTAGCTTAGAGGGAAGACATTAGCATTAAGTATTAAGGGGGATGAGGAAGGACTTCTTGCATAAAGTGGGATTTAAGTTTAGGCTTTCAGGAAGCCAGGAAAGTCAAGAGATGGAGAGGAGGAAAGAGAGAGTTCCAAATGGGGGACAGGCAAAGAGGCATGGAGGAGTCTGGAGTTGGGATGTTGTGTGTAAGAAAAACCAAGGAGGCTGGTGTCACTAGGTCATGGAGTATGCAGAAGGGAAACAAAGTATAAGAAGACTGGAAAGGAAGAAAGGGTCCAGGTCACAAATGGCTTTAAAAGCCAAGCAAAGGATTTTTCATTCGATTCTGGAGGCAATTGGAAGGCACTGGAATTTATTAAACATGGGAAGTGGGAAGGGATGGAGACATAATTAGACTTGCCCATTGGGAAGATCTCTTTGGTAATTGAGTAGGGGATGGACTGGATGGAGTAGGGAGAGACTTGAGGGAAGAAGACCATGCAAGAGGCTATTGCAATAGTCCAGGGGTGGGGCAATGGGGTCCTACACCTGTCATTTTAATTAACGAGTTCACAATCTAATTGAGGCAACAAAATGCATGCATGCAGACATAACTAACTCATAGTCCACAGCAGTATGTGATAAGTTCTCCTGAAATAACACAGACAATAAATGCTGGAGGAGAGGAGGAAAGACAGAATGTCCTACCCAGTAAACACTTTATTGATCAAAGACATCCTGAGATCACCTGTACAAAACTCTTAAGGATGGTCTGCAACTAAAATTCAATTGAAGACAGGGCAATCTGGGTGTCTGGACTTTACTTAAAGCTAGATGTGCAAGGCAAACTCTTCTTAATGGAAGAGGCCTTGCAAAAGAGGTCTGAATATCTGCTCTTTCTAGAAGCTAATGAGGACTAATGAATATAGTGAATGGAAAGAATATTAGATTTGGGAATGGGGGAGGGGAGTGGGGACATTTGCTTGGTCTCTGTCTAGCTCCAATCAACTGAGGTAGCAGCTGAAGGTGGCCTTGTGCTATTGTCAGGGGTGGGGAACCTGCGACCTCAAGGCCACATGTGACCCTCTAGGTCCTCAAGGGTGGCACTTTGACAGAATCCAAACTTCACAGAACATCTGTTCTCAAAGGGCTGCCCTTGAGAACCTAGGGGGCCACATGTAGCCTCTAGGCTGCAGGTTCCCCACCCTTGGTACTCATTTAATCGGAAAAAATGGAGACTGAGCAACCAGAAAAAAACCTCCAATACTGAAATCAATGAATTGATAAGCATCCTGCTGAAGATATGGACAGGGAGCAGGCCTTTGAAAGATCTAGAAACACTGAAGGGATGGTTGAACTAGGTCATTCTGCTTCAAAGCAAAGATGTTGGAGCAATGATTGGGAAAAGAGGCAAAAAGGTTAAAGAACTTTATACAGACTACAATGCCTGTGTTTCAGTCTCCAGTGGCCCTCCAGTGCATACGGAGGATCAGTGCAGATAGTGAAACAATTGGAAAAATTTTGAAAACAGTCATTCCTACCTGGGAAGTTGCCATCACCCACTACACCTAGTCAACTTTCAGTCAAATCTGATGCTGTGGAATGCTTGAATTACCAACACTATAAGGGGAGTGATTTTGACTGTAAGCTAAAACTGTTGATTCATCAGAGTCTGGCAGGAGGAATTATTGTGGTCAAAAGTGCAAAAATCAAAGAACTTCGAGAGAACATTCAGGCAACTAGCCAGCTTTTCCAGGGAGGTGAATGCTGTCCTCATTCCATTGACAGAGTTGTTCTAATCGGTGGAAAGCCTAGTAGGGTTGTGGAGTGCATAAAAATCCTACTAGATCTTTATATCTGAGTCTCCCATCAAAGGATGTGCACAGCCCTATGTTCCAATTTCTACGATGAAACCTACAACTCTGATGGTTTCACAATGATGTTTGATGATCCAAAATTGGTAGGGATGATTTTCTTCAGAATGCTCAGTATGTAAGCAAAACAGTGTGAAGCAGCATGCAGATGTTGAAAGATTCTAATGCAAAATGTTTTTTTCTTCTTTTTTATAGTGGGACACAATATTCTGCAAAGTTTTTCGGACTACTGAAGAACTGAAGGAGTCATACATCTTTTTGGGTTTTTTAATCTGCTTCTGTTCAAAAAATCAACATTCTTCTGCTTCATAGGTGTTCTGCATTTGAGGTATAGTGAAATCTTTGCTGTCCACCAGATGTAATGTTTTAGTTTCTTACAACAGAGTTGGGGGAAGAGTGTGTTAAAAATCACATTGAAATTTTGAAATAGCTGTTGAGAGAGTGAATTTTATTTTTGTTCATTGTTGATGGTAAATAAAGAAAATTCCCTTCCTGTTACTATTGTGAACACCTTGCTTTGTGGTCACTATAATTTTGGGGGAGGGCAGAGGTGGATAGGGGAGAAAGAATACCAATAGCTCATGTGTCCCTAGCAACCATTCAGAGCACTGTGCAGAATGTAATGATCTTTTCTAAGAAACATTCTATGATTTAAAAAAAAATTGTTGTTTTTAGTCAAGACCAACTCTTTGTGACCCCATTTGCAGTTTTCTTGGCAAACATATTGGAGTAGTTTGCTATTTCCTTTTCCAGCTCATTTTACAGATAAAAAAAAACTGAGGGTTAAGTGATTTGCCCAGAGTCACACAGCTAGTAAGTGTCTGAGGTCAGATTTGAACTCAGAAGGATAAGAGTTTCTGGGTTTAGGCCTGGCCCTCTATCCACTGAACCACCCAACTGCCCCAAAATAAATTTATTGAACCTTAAAAAAAAGACTATTCTATTTGAAATCAGAGACCTCCTGATGGAATTTCGACCAGCTATAAGTTACCTGAATTGACTTAGGCAAATCTTCACCCTTCTCGCTGTTCCTCAATTTCCCCATTTGTCAAGTGCAGGATGGGGATGAGGACGGGGGTGGACTAAGTATCTCTCGAGTTACTTCTAGTTCTTCCATGCTATGTTTCTAGGGGAGTGACATTGTGGTATAGTTTATAGAATGCTAGCCCTGGAAATCCTGGGTTCCAGTCCATCCTCTGACATAAACCAGCTATGTGACCTCGGGCAAATAATTTAATCTCTCAGAATTCCAGGGAACTCTCTAAATATATGAATTATTGATGAGTGGACAATCTACACTGTGGAAGTTTCCACCCTGGGAACTGCATTTATTAAGTGCTTATTATGTGCCAAGTATATATGAGCAGCTAGGTGGCATAGTAGATAGAGTGCCAGGCCTGGAGACAGGCAAACCCATCTTCCTGAGTTCAAATCTGATCTCAGACACTTACTAGCTGTGTGACCCTGGGTAAGTCACTTAATCTTATTTGCTTCTGTTTTCTCATCTGTAAAAATGAGCTGGAGAAGGAAATGTAAAATAAATAAATAAATAAATAACCCTCAAAATCCAGCACGACTGAAAAAAAAAAACAAACAACAAATATGCTAAGCACTGCACTAAACATTGATTATATAAATACAAAAGTAAAGACAACTCCTGCTCCCAAGAAGCTTACATTCTAAGAAGGGGAGATAATATATACTTTGGAGAGTAGATTGGAGTGGGACATGTTGTTTCAGAATAAGATTCACACATTTTTCCAAGGAGTTATGGCAGAAATAATTTGATCATGGTTCCAGACTTGGGTAAGTGGATAGCGGTGGAGATCAGGACTGGAAAGAGAAGGCTTGCTGTGGGCCCCAAGGTAGTTAGTGAGGCTGTGGAGTCAGTGTCCTAGTGCTGTAATTCAGAAGATGGAAGGATTAAAAGCTCCTCAGGAAGCATGATCTCTGGTGTAGTCAGCAAAGTGGTTGGTGAAGTTGTGGAGGAAATGGACAGAGAAAGGGAATGAAGCATGCTTGGGGCCATCCCGCAGGAGGGCACCAAGAGAGGACAGGATCAGATAGAAAAGAAAAAAAGAAGAGTTCCTAGGAAGCAGGAAACTCCCAAAGACCTAATTAGAGCAGAACATTCTTTCATATTATCTGATACTTTACCAAGAGGCCAAAGCAAACAGTTCAGCCCAGGGGAGAAGAGAAACAAGAAGGGAGGGAGGATGAGGGCTGGTTTTCCAATGCCTTCATAAGATCAGGCAGCTTTGGCAGCCAAAGACAAAGGGACCAAGAAGTGACCGGAGCCTTGTGGCTAAAGAGCTCATTCAAGCCATGGGCAGGATTGTCTGGCTCTTGGCATGCCTGTGCCTCCTGACCTCCACTGCTCAGGAGCTTGGCCAGTGTCCAGGTGAGTGAGATTCCCAGAGATAGTTCTGAGCTCTAGACCTGCTATTTTTTCCTGGATCTAGTCCTGAGGAACATATGGAGACCCATTCTGCTCAATAGTGTCCTGCTCTTTCTCATTTCTCTTCTATAACCTTGTGTTCTATGAGGAAGGGGATCTCTTCTCTACTCTAATCTCTTATCCCTTCCCTCTCTTCCCAGAACTTCTATATGCAGCTAGATGGTTCAGTGGTTAGAAAGACTTTGAGTCAGGAAGACCTGAGCTCAAATTCTGCCCTAGATACTTACTAGCTGTGTAACCCTGGGCATCACTTAACCTCCTTCTCCCTCAGTTTCATCATATATAAAATGGGGACAATAATAATAATATTTACCTCCCAGGGCTGTTGTGAGGATCAAATAAGATTGAATATGTAATACATACACACTCATACACAAGCACACACACACATACATATTCATATATATACACATACACATACACATACACACATATATTGCTTTGCAAACCTTAAAGCACTATATAAATGCAAGTTTTTGCATTCATAGTTGTTTATAGACATCTTTAGGAGTATATATATCTATATGTATGTGTATGTGTATATTATTTATATATATATATATATATATATGTGTGTGTGTGTGTGTGTATGTATATGTATATGTAATGACTGTGAACTGCACTGGAAAGATCTGTGTGAGTCAGGAGACCCAGCTGATTGATAGTCTTTCTAGCACCGTATTGGTTCTTTGCTTTGCACTTCCCAGCTCTTCTCTCAAGGCAACAACAACTTTCCTTCTTGGATTTTGTGAAACACTTTGGTTTGGAACTCTCCAAAAAAATTATCCTGGAATCGTGTGTATTATCTAGTAGTCATTATCGCTGTACTAGATTCTCCTGGAAGGACAAAGACCTTGTCTTTTCTAAAGTTTTGTTATCTCCCTCAGTGTCTGGCACAGTGCCCTATACTAATCAAGTTTTTAATAATTGATATTTATATAGCAAACATTGTGTGTCTGCATATATATAGAATATGTGTATGTTGTATATGTGTATATTTTGTAATGTAATATAAATATATATTTTATATATAATTTTATGTGATCCTCTGGGAGATGGATATCATTTATATTATCACCCCGTTTTGGAGAGGTTAAGTGACTTGCCCAGGGTCATATAGTTAGAGTCGAAGGTAGGATTTCAATTGGGTTTCTCCAGACTCCAGGTTGATATAATATACCATGCTAACTCTTATACCATGATGTCCTACTTGGACATCACCTCTTTGAGGATATTTTCTTGCATGTAGAAGTAAAGATTATATGTCTTGGGAATCCTGACAAAGACATTTCTCACAGCTCTCCAAGAAAAATTATTGCCTAACCCTAAAATTGAATGGATAGATATGACTACCTGACACATTCTGTATTGATAATCTCTGTCTCTCTGTCTCTCTGTCTCTCTCTCTCTCTCCTCTCTCTCCTCTCTCAATTTCCATTACTATTTTTCTCTGTCCTCACAAAAACCTCTAAGTGTTCCTTCCTGCAGTTCCCAATCCCAACACAGAGAAGTTCTTGTCCCAGCTCCATGATTCACTCCCTGTGTGACCCACTTCACTTTTGTGTCTAAATTTTTTTCCTTTATAAAATCGGGATAGAATAGAGCTGTTGTTGCTGTTCGGTGATTTCAGTCATGTCCAACTCTCCGTGCCCCCATTTGGAGTTTCCTTGGCAAAGATACTAGAGTAGTTTGCCATTTCTTCTCCAGCTCATTTTAACAAGGGAGGAAACTGAGGTAAACAGGATTAGGTGACTTGCCTAGAGTCCCACAGATACTAAGTGTCTGAGGCTGGATTTGAATTCAGGAAGAGGATTCTTCCTACTTGAGGTCCAGCACTCTATTCACTGTGCCACCGAATAGATTATCTGTAGAGTCCCTTCCAGGGCAAATCTCCTTTCATTTAATTACAAAAGTTTCCATGTGTAAGTACCAATTCTAATTCTTCCTCCCTCCCTGATCCCCTCAAGTTGCTTAGGGTCATTTTGGCAAGGATTACGGGCACTCTGGACAGTGACAATCAGATTGAGCTCTGACTGAGAATGAAACTTGTTCATTAAAGAACATTTCCTTTCTACTTTCAGATTTGTCCATAAGGTAAGGAGAAGTTTTCATCTTCTTAAGCTTAATATCAGAAGAAGTCATTCTCCACAGTAACCCAAGTCCCACTTATGAAGATATGCTTTGACTTTTGGTCACTTCTGCAAATTGACTTCTGGGTTCTATAGATCCTTTAGAAAATACAATACTCAATGGTGTGTGTGTGTGTGTGTGTGTGTGTGTGTGTGTGTCTTTCACATCTTGCAGATGTCAAGATTGTGGGTCTTGGGGAGTCTGACAAGCTTGCTATACTCCAAGGCTGTCCAGGACTTCCTGGACCCCCTGGTCCCAAAGGAGAAGCTGGCTCTGATGGAAAGAGAGGTATGTACCCATACCCTTGGGTCCATATGATTTGGTTGATAATGGGTTAGTATTAGTCACAGAACACTGACTCACTTGCTGTATTATATATAAAGCTGGGAAAGCTGAGGTTCATGGGCCATAAGCTGTAGCTCTTCACGTATTATCTAGAATAAATAAGTATCTTTCAAAATTCTTTTAGAAAATAAATAAGTTTTGAAGGGATTGTGCTTAATTCACAAATTCATACTTCAGCATATACAGCCAGAAGGTCTGGATTCTAGTTTTGGAGTACATTGAGTTTTGCCAAAACTCTCCAGCTGGATATGATATCTCTCACTTGTTTGAACTCAGAATCCTCCCTGCTCCTACCATTTTAACTGTAATTATTAGTGCCATTGTCTTATCTTTCTCATGCATAGAAAGATCCAGGAGGGGAGGGGGCATGTCCTATTCATCTTTGCATCCTTCACACCTCTATGTTCAGGGCTGGAAGCGTATTAAATACCGTTTGTTGATAGATTATAAATGCAAACACTTCACCACCATCATGACCAACATGCTTATTACCATTAACAATTCTAACATGTTGACACATCAAGCATCTGTGGTTTTTGTCAGTCACTTGCAACTAATTTTTTTTGAAGGGGGAGGAATTCTATGCCTCTTTATTAGGCCAGCTTCAGGTTCCAAAATAGAGTCTTCCCCTCTTCTCCACCTCCATCCAAAAAGCAAAGTTGATTACAACTATCTATTACCTTTCCTGAGGTTCTGAGACTTCAGTGACTGGACTGGAAGCCAGGTCTTCTGACTCTAAGGTCATCCACTACATTACACAACTTCCCTAACAATCATAATCATAGACATAATTAATATACAGTCTGTGCTTCTCAGGCCACATATGATGGCGCTTGGAATGCTGTTTAGAGCAAATAATGGTACTCTAAGGATGAAAAAATGTCATTAGTCCTAAGAGTAAATAAACATACTTTGAAAGGTATACTTTGGTGGTAGTAGTGAAAGTGGTAGTAGTAGCAGCAGTAGCAGTACTAGTGGTAAGAATTGTAATAGTAATAGCAGTAGTAATGGTGGTAGTAGTAATAGTAATAGTAGAGGTGATAATAATGGTGGTAGTAGCAACAGTAATAGTGGTAGTAATAGCAGTAATCATAACAGTAATAGTAGAAGAAGTAGCAATAGTAGTAGGAATCATAAAAGTAGTAGTAATTATAACACTAGTAGTAAGCATAATAGTAATCATAATTGTAATCACAATAAGAATCATAACATAACAATGGCACTAGGAGGAGGAGGAGTAGTAGTAGTAGTAGTAGTAGTAGTAGTAGTAGTAGTAGTAATAGTAGTGGGGGAGACCTGGGGGGGGTTGTGGTGGTAGTAATAGTTGGCATTCAAAATGTATTTTACAGAATCTTTACAAACAATCCTCACAACTTTGTGAGGTAGATCATATAAATCTTTTATCCCAGCTTATGGCATAACAGAGGCAATATGACCTAATGCAAAGAAAATCAGTGTCAAAGTCAGGAAGCTCTGGGTTTGAATTCTGCCTCTGACACTGTCTGACATGTGCTCTATGACCCTGAGCAAGTCACTTAACCTCACCGTGTCTCCAAGGAGCTCTAACACTACAAATTGCCCGGATTGCTGCAGAAATGTTTTGGTAGAAGGAGTTTCATCATGTGAAGTTCCCTACCCCGGTACAACCGTATGTCTTATCAAAAAATAAATGAACCACCTGAAGTGCAGAGAGATACCAATGACTTACCCCAAAACCACACAGACAATAAATAAATGGAAGAACAAGGACTTGAATCTAGGTCCTCTAGGGCCAAAATCCAGCACTGCAGCAATTAAAGTTCGGCTAGACTCTATCTTAGGCTATTTGTGCAGTAGGAATTTCAGGAAGGGGGGAGTCAGGGTGGGCTGGAAGACCTAATGGTTGACAAGAGGTGACCATAACTGAGGAAGGAATGCTGGCTTTGGAGTCTGAGCATCTGAGGTCACATCCCGCCTGTGACCTGGATGACTCTGGGTGAGTGATAGAACACCTCCAGGCTGACAAAAGACCAGTTATAAAATGCAGTTGGTTTGGTGTGGGAACTGAGAGAACCAATTAGATTCTGTCTGATGAACACTGACTCCATCTTGTGCTGCCACATATATTATCCTCCATGTTCTTGTTTTGCTGCAAATCATCCATGGGAAACTAGATGGCATAAGTCATCTATTGTTTCATAAATGCAGGTGGATGCAATTAATCAGCATCTCTAAATTATGGGAAAAGAAAGATCTCAAAACTTACTCACCCTCCTCCCAACTTGACTGAAATGTAGTCTTCCCCTCCTCAGAACTTGGAAAGCTTTCAACCTTTCCTCCAATTAGAAATCAGATTACCTAATGTTGTATCCTGGCTTGTGTACTGCCAATTGTTTTCTTTTAGTTAATTTGATTAATTATTTTTAATACATAAAAAGTTTGTCTCAATCTATATTCAGAGTCTTTGGATAGACTGGGGAGTCCATTGACTCATTAATCATGCTTGTTTCGCTAATAAATCATATAGCTTGGATTGCATTTCCTCAGTTATATTAATTTATCTGCCACAGGGCCTCATTTCCCTTACCTATAAAATGAGAGGAGTAGAGTTGCACTAGATGACCTCTGAGGCCCCTTTGCAACTCTACAATCCTATAATATAGAGAAGATATGGAAGGGGGTGGGGGTTGGGGGGAAAGGGAGTGAACTTTAAGTTAAATGTTGTTTATTATCACCATTCCCATCTTCCCATCTCATTGGTATCTACAGGGGAGAGAGGCCCCCCTGGGACTCCTGGGAAGGCAGGACCAATGGGTCCCAAAGGTAAGTAATTAAAAGGAAATCAAAGAACCTGCATGCCCAGCTGGAACAAGAGCAGCCCCCTGAGGCTCCACTCATTGGGCTGCTCATACCTAGAAAGTTAATTTCTGCTATCAGTCAGGACACTCCTGTAAATTCCATTTGCTAGACTCAAAGTAGTGTCACTGGCAGGAGCCACACTTACACCTTTTTTGTGTGTGAACCTTGAAGCAGTATTGATACCTGAGTTATTCGTACATAGTGTAGGCAGAACCTAAGGGTGGATGCATATGTGTCTTGACTTCCAACCAGCTAATCTGGCTTTCTTCTCATGTACAGGAGCTGATGCAGAAACTGACATATGCAAGCCAGGTGACTTTTCCTGATTCCTAGGACCCCATCTGACTTTGGACCATGGTTTGGATATTGAAAGATAGGGCTCTGAGCTGCTGGGAGGGTTCAGCCAAAGGTCCACTCGAAATCGGTGGCTTTATTGAATTCAGGTCCAGGCTGGTTTTGGCTTCCCAGGTGGAGAGCTTCCTCCCCTCATCTATACCCTCATCAAAGCTTGTACAAGTTGTCCCAAAATTCTTAGTGCAATTTGAATCCTAGCTAAGCTGGGCATAAACTAAAACTTTTGAAATACCCTGTGCTTGTCTTGGAGAAAAGAGATGACATATGCAAAAACGAAAACAAAACAAAGCCAAAAAGAAACAAAAATAAAATCATTAAGCAGGACAACATTGGTTGGTTGGTTGTTGCCCTTCATTCTCAAAGAGTATTAAAATGACATCATTACAATAGTCAAGTTACAGTGCATCAGACTGTGGCTAATCGGACTTACAAGCTCAGAATGCTCTACCACAGGTCGGGTACAAGTAGTCTATGTGAACATTTGGGGTGGATTCTCTAAATTTTCGCATCTCGCATTTCTTTTGAGCTACTTCAATTCTGTTTTGCTCATAAAGCACAGCAACTTCTGATAAGATATGGGTATTAATGAATGAGAGGCACTGTGGTATGGTAAATGGAATCAGGAAGACCTGGGTTCAAGTCTTGCCTCTGATACATACTGGATGTGTGACCTGGGGAAGTCACGTCATTTCTCAATGCCCCAGGAAATTCTCTAAGACTATATGAGTTTCGGAGTAGTTACAGATCTGCATAGCTTGAGTTCCTTATCAGGGGTTCCCTTCACTGAGAAAATCTTGGGTCTGGTCCATAGGCATTAAAAATTAAATGTGATGAATTTTAAGAGAGTTCTGGGAAGTGATAAAACAACTTGAACGATAGTTTACAGAAGGATTGATGGAGAAGGGAGGGTTTGGGTTGAGCCACAAGGACTCAGAACCCAGTTTTTCTATTATCTAGGGACAGGGGAAGTCTAATTTGTTCTCACAAATAAGCACTTGCCCTTTGCCGGTTTTGGATTTCTCCTATCTATTTCCCAGGAAGTAGAGATTGCCGAGAGCTGTTCAGCAAAGGGAACACCCTGAGTGGATGGTACACCATATTCCTCTCTGCCTGTAAACCTCTCACTGTGTTCTGTGACATGGACACCGATGGTGGGGGATGGATTGTGAGTATCAGCTCATCGCAGATTAGCCGAGTAACCCTTAGAAAGGGTCCTGGTTGAGGAGCCAAGATCGAGCTCCAGCTCTGCCCCTGTCTGTGTGATCTTGGAAGACTCCCTTCCCCTCTCCGGGGCCAAATTGCTTTATCATCTATAAAATTGAGAAGCTGGTCATCTCCTAGGCCCCTTCCAGAATTGACATTAGATGATTTCCCACTGTGACACTTTCATTCCCCCACAGGTTTTCCAGAGACGGGTAGATGGATCTGTGGATTTCTTTCGGGATTGGGCTGCATACAAGAGAGGCTTTGGCAGTCAGCTGGGGGACTTCTGGATGGGCAATGATAACCTTCATTTGTTGACAGCTCAAGGTGAGGACCTGATGGAGGACTGACTCAGGCCTTTCCCCCAGATGGCTATCAGCCCCAGTGTAGGTTCAGCTCCAGCCTCAATTAATTCCCACCCGGCCTTTCCTTGTCTGAAACAAATACACACACCCTCCTAGGCACTCTGCCACTCTTCTCCATCACACACACACACACACATACACACACACACACACACACACACCTGCCCCAGAATATTTGTCAGTTGGACTTTGGAGAACGCCAACACAATGAGGAAGTCAGATACTCTAGAAGGGGCAGATACAGAGCCACTACTCGGAAGGCAGTGGTGTAATAGAAATCAAGTTAACAAGCATTTATTAAGCACCTACTATGTGCCAGATAGGTAGCTAAGTGGCTCAGTGGATAGAATGCCAGGCCTGGAGTCAGGAACACCTGAGTTCAAATCTGACCTCAGACCCTTACTAGCTATGTGACTCTGGCCAAGTCACTTAACCCTGTTTGCCTCAGTTTCCTCATCTGTAAAATGAGCTGGAGGAGGAAATGGCAAACCTCTCTAGTATCTTTGCCAAGAAAACCCCAAACAGGGTCACAAAAGACATGACTGGAAACAACTAAGCAAAAACAACAAGAAAAATGTGCCAGGCCCTATGTTAATTGCTGAGGATGCAAAGAAAGAAGTACACTCCCTGCTCTCGAGGAGCTCACAGTCTAATGGAAATAAAGTCAGAAGATCTGGGTTCAAGTGCTGTATCTGGCAGTTATTACTTGCATGATCCCAAGCAGGTCACTTAACCCTTCGTACTTCAGCTTTCTCATCAGTAAAATGAGTAAAATATGGGGATAGAAGGGAGCTGTTCAGTTAACAAATATGTATTTGCTATTGTGAGGAAAGTACTTAGAAACCATAAAGCACTATACAAACGTGAGTTATCAGTACACAGTTCTGTTTTCTCCTCTACCCTTTTCTCCTATTTTATCCCCAAAGTCACTCAGGGCCCTCAGCAGTTCAAGATCTTCCAATCAGGCAGAAGTCTGATAAAATCACTCACACTGAGATGTCAGTGACTTCACACCATTATCTCTCAGGGAAATGATCATATTTTAAAGAGGGCCTGGGAAAGGATATTGCTTAACCCCAAGGCATGAAGCTGGAATGGTGAAATTTCGGTCATTAAGTTCAGAGCACTGTGAAAATTTCTTGGTGGTGAAGGCCTTCCTGGCATCCTTCTCTTCAAAAATGCAGCCATTCCTCTGTGGTAGAGGGTAAGGGCAACCCTTGCAAGTTACCTGAATTCCAAAATGATGACTGTGGAACACCCAGACTCTGTGGGAAATGTAGATAGATCTTGTAAGGGTGTTACTGGAATCCCCTTCCTGTTCAGATCTCTCCTCATCAGTCCCATCCAACTTTCTTCCCCACCTCCTTCCCATAAAATTGCTACCTCCCCAGTAATTGCTGCCTCGAAGGGTTGTTGTGAGGATCAGTGAGATAACACATGCATTACTTTGCAAACCTTGAAGCACTAAATAAATGCTAACTAGTCCTTATAGGTGAGAACACTGAGTCCCAGAGGGGTTAAAAGTGGCTTGTCAAGTTCATGTCCAGGGCCACCTGACATCCAGATCTATTCCTTTCCACTGCTTGCCAGAAACCTCCATTGATAATGGGTCAAACTTCTCTGTTAACCTCCCTCAGAGCATTCATTTGTTGATTGGTCAATAAGGAGTGGTGGCCAGCTAGGTGGCGAAGTGGATGAAGTGTTAAATCTGGACTCAGGAAGACCGATCTTTGTGAGTTCAAATCCAGCCTCACTTACGAGCTGTGTGACCCTGGGCAAGTCACTTAACCTTGTTTGCCTCGGTTTCCTCAAATGTAAAATGAGCTAGAGAAGGAAATGGCAAACCACACCAGTATCTTTGCCAAGAAAACCCTAAATGGAATCACGGAGATTCAGACACAACTGAACAACAATAAGAAATACAAGGGGCACTGACCACAAGTCTCTACCAGCACCACTGTATATAGAATTTCACTGCTGGAGCTACCAGCCAGACTTGGGGTTTGGGAAAAGTCTGGACAAAATCTTTTCAAACCCTTCTCTCATAGAAACCTTTGAGTTCCGGGTAGATCTCAGTGACTTTGACGGAGGCCACTCCTTTGCCAAGTACAGGTCATTCCGGGTTTCAGGAGAGGCTGAAAACTACAGGCTGATCCTAGGAGACTTTGTGGAAGGTGATGCAGGTGGGTCCCAATAGGGTTTTGGTCGTGCAAGGTCAGTGGGACTAAAAGCAAAGGAGAACCAGGAGACAGGTTGAAGCCGAGATGTCATCTGATAAGATATGAAGGCTGGAAGGGACCTTAGAACACAGGGTGTTGGAGGTGAATGGAACCTTAGAATACAAAATTTCAGAGCTGGAAAGAACCTTTAAAACTTAAAATGTCAGAGATGAAAGGAACATTAGATATCTTCAAACCTAAATTATTAATTAATTACATATATGGAAACTGAGATAATGTAGGGCTGTGGCTTAAGGAAATGGTGTAAGATAAGGTGAGATAGACAAAATGGGGCCCATTTGTGGAGACCTTGAATGCTAGACTAAGGAGATTAACCTTTACCATGTATAACTATTGGTCTAAACTGTTCCCTTTGCAGGTGACTCACTGACATACCATAACAACCAATCCTTCACAACGAAAGATCGAGACAATGACCCAAATGCAGGAAACTGTGCTAATGAGTATAGCGCAGCCTGGTGGTACAAAGAGTGCCATCTGTCTAACCTGAATGGCTTATACCTCAGAGGTCCCCATGAGAGTTTTGCCAATGGAATAAACTGGAACACGGGCAGAGGATACAAATATTCCTACAAAGTGTCGGAGATGAAGCTCAGGCCTGTTTAGCTGAGGGGGAGGACCAAGGCATTTTCCACTGGCATGTTGGACAACCAGAGGCAGCAGGCTGTATCAGACTAGGAGGACACAACCAGAGTTCTAATCTCTGATCCAGAGAGAGGCTCACAGGATGGTTTGAAGTTTCATCATAGGAGGTTTCATCTTCCACAGCTTATAGCTCATAGCTATGTGATTTGGGGCAGGTTATAATCTTTCTGGGCCTCAGTCTCCTCATCTGAAGGATGGAGACAACAATTCCAGAACAACTTATCAGCTATTTCTTGTAAGGTTCAAAGAGAAGACATGTAAAATCATGTTTTTGTGAGTGCAGGATATAAATTAGAGTTGTTGTTAATTTAGTAACAGGGAGGATAGGGGAGGAAAGAAGGGAATCATATCCCTATGGCCTACAAATGAATGACATCAATTATTAAAATAACTTTTCAACCTTAAATAACATTCCTCCTGATAAAAGAGAAGATGAAATAATGCTAACTTCTGACAATTGTGCCTACAATTATGAAACTTACAAATTTAACTTTTATGAAGTACTTTTTGATGCATTATTTCAGATACCTGAATAAAAAGGTAGGAAAAGAATGATTTATCTTTGACAGGTGTCACAGTGAATATTAAGCTGGATGTGGAGTTGGGAAGACTTGAGTTCAAATCCTACCTCAGTTATTTACTAGCTAAGTAACCTTGGGCAAGTCACTTGACTTCACTCAGACTCGGTTTCCTAACCTATAAAATGGCGATAATAATAGAACCTACCTCACAGAGTTGTTGTGAGGATCAAATGAGATAATACGTGCAGTGCTTGACATAGGTTGACAAACCTTGAAGCACTATATAAATAGATGTTGTAAATGAGAGAAAGGAGCCCCGAAGGGGTTAAAAGTGACTTGTTACGTCCATGCCTAGGGCCACCTGACTTCCTGATCTGTTCCTTTCCACTGATTACCAGAAACTGCCTATGACAAAGGGTCAAACTATCCTGTTAACCTCTCTGTGGACATTCATTTGTCAACTGCTCAATGAGTAATACAAGGGGTGCTGAGCAAATATCTCTATCAAACCCCAAATACTGTGCATCCAGAATTTCACTGCTGGATCCAGCAGCAAGGCTTGTGGCTTGGGAAATGACTGGTGAGTTCACCTCTGGCTGCTGGATTCTGCCAGACAGTCTATTTCTAGACTGGAAAAGGTGCCACTTTTTACATCAATACTGAAGTACATGTGAAAATTGGGAGTTTCACCCTTTTGCCTCTTGAATAGTCTTTTTTTCCCTCTGGCCCCAGTCTGAAATTTTTAATATGTCTTGATGAAGATTGAACTTGTCACGGAGACTGATTTTTAGGATAGGCATTTAGTGCTGGAAGAGATACTAGTTGAACTCCCTAATTTTACAGATGAGGAAACTGAGGCCTAAAGTAGGGGGAGTGACTTGCCTAGAGGTTACAGAGATATTCACTAGCAGAGTTTGAGTTTAAACCGAAGTGTCTGACTCCAAATCCAGTGTTCTCTTTCAGAAACCTTAAGTTCTTAGATATAGATTTGGAGGGTCATCTAAACCTCTTCATTCTACAGATGACCACACCCATGCCCAGAAATGTTAAATGACTAGTCCAAAGTCACACAGCAAGAAGATTTGATAATCTTTTCTGCCATCTGGTCTACTAAATGGCATGGCCCTCTCTATGGGGTATTAACTAGCTGGACTATTGCCATTGCCTCCTAATCAGCCTTCCTATCTTGTGTCTCCCCTCTTCAACCTATCTTTACATAGTTGTCCCCACTCAAAAAGTCCCAATGGCTTCCTGTTGCATCTAGGACAAAACACAAACATCTCCACTTGGTCCTTAAAACCCTTCCCAGGCTGGTTCCAACCTGTGTCTCTAGCCTCCTTACACACTACTCCCCTTGTGCACAACATTCCTTCTCCCACGTCTACATAGGCTATTTTCCCCATGTGTAGAATGTGCTCCCCCCACCACTGCTTTTTTTCAGAAGCCTTGGCTCTCTTCCAAGCCTTGCCGAAGTGTGACTTTCTATGTGATGCCTTTCCTGACCCCCCAGTGGCTAGTCCTCCTTTCCCCAAATTACTATGTATTTCCTGGGCACATATTTTGTATTTACTTAAGTGTGTATATGGAATTCTCCAAATAAAACGCTAGCTCCTTAAAAAGAAGGGACTGTTTTGTCTCTGTATCCCAGCACTTAGCATTGTGCCTCAAATACAACTTAATAAATACCTGTTGATCAAGGATTGGAGGGTGTAAGACACAACAAAAGCCTGACTAAATAAAATATCCTTCCCACAGTGCCTGAATTTCCCACTAGTAGAGTTGTTCCTTTGGGCTAAGCTATGACATTATATCCCCAGAAGGCTCCAGGTGAAATACCTGATAGCAACTAGGTGGTGCAATAGATAAAATGCTGGACCTGGAGTTCAAATCTTGCTTCAGACACTCACTAGCTGTGTGACTCTGGGCAAGCCACTTAACCTCTCTCTGCCTCAGTTTCCTCAATTGTAAAATGGGGACAATAATAGCACCTACCTCACAGGATTGTTGTGAGGATCAAATTAGATTATGATCATAAAACTCTTAACATAGTGCAAGGCACATTTTATTGTTCAGTTGTTTTAGTCACATCCTACTCTTCTTGACTCCATTTAGGGTTTTATTGACAAAGATTCTGGAATGGTTTGCCATTTCCTTCTCCAGCTCATTTTATAGACAAGGAACTGAGGTAAACAAGATCAAGTGACCTGCCCAGGGTCACCCAGCTAGTCAGTGTCTGAGGCTAGATTTTAACTCAGGAAAATGAGTCTTCCTGCTTCCAAGCCCAGCACTCTATCCACTACACCACTATGCTTTCCCAGGCTCAGGGTCATTTCTTCCCCTATTAAAATATCTAGAGTCAATCCAAGGAAACTCGAAAAAAAATTATGAGATAATGAGCTTTGCAGGGTTTATGTGGGTGTGAGGTCCTCTGGATGATCCTGTGTGCATATGACATTGTGCTGATTTCCTTAAGCCCTAGAACATTACAGATTTTCCTGGAAGAGGTCTGTAGCCACTTAAAGGAATAAGGTCCATCAAGCCACACAAGAAAGACTGAAGGAATGAAGAATGTCTATTGCTCAGATTTCAACATGCATTTCCCATGCTGCCAAATGCATGGCACATAAATGGTAAATAAGTGCTTGTTCCCTTCCCATTTTGTAACACAAATACTCAAATGGATATTTGATCTCATTGGTTGGGAAGGTCCTCCCAGTGTTACAGATGGAAAGCCATGCCTACCTGCCCATGCTGGGTTGACTCTTGTCCATACTTTCCACCGTGCTCAACACACAGGAACGCTCAATGTGCTGGAGGCCTGCTTTGATGCCTCCTGATATCATGAATCTCCTACGGAAGCATTCTGGCTCTTTACCTGTCATCCTTCACTTTTGTCACAGGATCAGTTCATCTTTCTTCCCTTTTCCCTCTCCCCTCCCCCGCCCCCCCTCCACATCATACAATTCCTTGATGGCATGATTTACTCCTGTTCTTCTGCATTCCTTATTAGTGTTCCATGCTACAGTCTATTGATGCCCACCGTGGGCTTCTCCATTGCTCTCAGCAAAATATTAATTTTTAATTCTTTGGAGATCATTGTGTTCCATATCTTCCTGTCTTACGGATCATCAGTAGAATATTGTTATTAAAATATTAATCTGTTGTAATAGGACCCTTGGGATCTTTAAATGAGATCTGCAATTTCTAGAAGGCAATCTGACCCACTCTCCTCCTCCTATTCAGTTTTGAACCCAATTTATTGTCCATTTGTACTTTCTGTCCCAGATATACATACTGATGGACAAGTTCTGTAAGTTGTCCATGGAAATGCATGTTGAAATCTGGGCAATAGACATTCTTCATCCCCTTGGCCTTTCTTGTGTGGCTGGACAGACCATATTCCTTTAAGTAGCTACAGATCTCTTCCAGGAAAATCTACGTAATGTTCTAGGGCTTAAGGAAGTTAGCACAATATCATATGCACACAAAATCAACCCAAAGACATCACCACCCACATAAACCCTGGAAAGCTCGTTATCACATAATTATTTTTTTCAAGTTTCCTTGGAATGGCTTCAGATAACTTGATAAGAGAAGAAATGACCTTGAGCCTGGGAAAGCATAGTAAGTACGTCAAAACTGGAAAACATCTTAGAAATCATATGGGCATCAGGTCATAGATTTAGAGCTAGAAGGGACTTCAGATGCCATGTAGTCAAATCACTTCATTTTACAGATGAAGAAACTGAGGCCCAGAGAGGTTAAGTTACTTCCTCAAGGTCACACAAGTAGTAAGTACAAAGAGGGGATTTGAACTTAGGTCATCTGACTGAGCCAGCACCCTTGCATTGTACCATACTGCTCCCTATCTCTTTATTTTAGTAAGTTAGCTGACAAGCATTTAAGTGCTTACTCTGTGCCAGGCATTATACAAAGCTCTGGGAACACAAAGAAAAGCAAAAATATGATCCTAGTCTTCAGAGGAAGAAACAGAGCCTGAGATGAGGAAAAGGAAGAAAAACATAGAAATTTGGAGAAAGAGAACCCTGAACATTCAAGCAAAGGAAGAGAACATGGGGATCTGAGAAGGGAAGGGAAATTGTGAAAGTAGGGAGTATGGAGCTGTGGGAGAATGTTTAAAATGTGGAGCCATGACAAGGTACAATGGGAAGATCCCTTTTCAGAGTGTCTGGAGACTTATAGTCACAGCTCTGTTGTTAATTAGCTATGTGACACTATGCAAGTCATTGCCCTCTCCGAGCCTACTCTGTAAAATGAAGGAATCAGACCAGATGGAACCACCGTATCATCAGAACTCTCAGCCAAGATGCTCACTCCCTTCCGTGTTCACTCTCCACACCAGCTGCTTTGTCCCAGTACATTACCATCTCTTAGCCCTTTTTACTTTCTCTTTATGCATTGTCTTCCCTTATTAAAATGTAAACTTCTTGAGAATAGGGACCAGATTATTATCTTGTTTGTGTATTCCCAGCCATTTAGCACAATGTATTGCACAGAGTACTTTTTATTATCTATCTATCCATCTATCATTTACCCACCTATCATTTATCTATCCATCCATCATTTATTTAACCATCTACTTATCATTTATCTATCATTC